CGTCTAGCGTTCACGGGATGTTATTATGCGTGGCGCACGAGTTCTGGTGCATCTGTATAGGTGCGTTGTGTGTAAAATGTCGACTCTAATTATTTATTCGTATAGGAGGTATATAGCGCAAGCAGTGATAGGCGATCTTGTACCAGCCTGCCGCCACAACCATTTCCCATTTCGGTCACCAATTCACGTTAAATAATACATTGTCAGAATAAATTATGACGTGGCCAGTTATCGCCGAGGGTGAACAAAGCAGTTCCAGCAAGTCCCATTGCAGCCACACATGATGGGATTTTTCTATACAACGGTTAAATAATGAAGAACTCGGACACTCGGAGAAATTGTACCTTCTCGCCGAATCAAAATTTGCATGTCGGCAACGGAGTGGATCAACCGCTCAGAGTGAAAAAGTAATGCTTGTCGCGGTGTTTCGGAAATTTGCTGACGTCCACGTCGCTGTAACGGCGTGGCTGAGCTACATGACTTCCGTGCCCTCCCCACGCATTAATTACAGGTTGTGACAGCATTCCTATCCCAAAAAAAATCCATAAACGTCTTGGTGATTCTTATTTGAAACAAAACGTTTGCCTTTGCCCCCCCCCTCCAATTTGTTGTGGTCGTTTTTAGTTAAAAAGAACATTCGCCCCGATGACGTTCGAAGTTCAAACGTAAAATCGCAAGTTTAAAACGGAATATATCGGAATTGTTTTGTTCCCTTTTCCACGAAATAACCAGATAGTCGGGATAGAACCAATAGATATCCGATATGCCTCAATGGTAATGACGATTTCCTTGACAATCATCAGTGCCAATGATGGCAACTACACCATCTTGTGCAATGACTCAGTCTGTACGACCCATAACTAATCGGCTCTAATAGGCTATACCTGTGCATGCAGAAAGTGCGTGTCCCTTGCTCGTGTATCTGTACTCTACCCGTTACGGTCGCCACCTTTAATCTGAGAGTACCATACGTGAGTGGCCTAGAATTATCATATATAGTCTTCCCGTGAAGCACTCGATCCGCTCCGTATCATCGTGAATGAATCGCGTCACCAGGGACTGGCGGCTTCGTCTCTGTTATTTATCATATTGCCCCTGCCGTGTGTACATCATAGTAGGTATATCACCAGTCCGGTATTTAGCGTTCACACGAGGAAATGCGCGGTCCAAGAGATCCGGTATTTCTCAAGCACGGCAAATAACGGCATCTGTTTATTCGGGGTCTGGGAAGCCGCGTATTTACATCAAATACCGGATCTGTTTAGATACCGTATTTCTTGGACCGCGCATTTTGCCTCGTGTGAACGCTAGAAGTACCGGTTTCTTGCTACGTGTGAAACCGCGGCTTATGATTATCATTTTATCCCTTATCACACACACACACACCGCCACGCAGCGCACGCACCGCACGCAGTTCTCGCGCGCACAACACACACACACACACACACACACACACACACACACACACGACGCGCGCGCATATATATATATATATATATATATATATATATATATATATATATATACAAAGAAAGTCAAGGTATAGAATAAGGGTGTTTAAATTATAATATATATATTCTCACCTGCCTCTCCGGAGCTCTCAATGCTATAACTAACGGTATAATCAACAGGTGGATAGTATCTGTGACACAAGAACTCTGTCTAGTACGAACATGTTTTAATTGCCAACACGTCGACAGCACTTGATCCAGTTCTCTAGACCGCGTAGCAGTGTGAGTGAACCGAGTGTATAATATAAGTACATAGACATACTACTCATCTTACGAAAGTAGCGTTTACACATCCGGTTCACAGCCGAGCAAACAACTGTGCTGTATTAACAGTTCTTTTCTATGATAACATGTGTTGTACTTTGTTGTTCGATGTTTACTCAGTACGAAATTGTGAAATTTGTTTAAATCATATGTTATCTACATTACTTATGCAATCAAGAAACAAATAAAGTGTTTTCGTCCCAGGAACTATTTGCGCTAGCGTAGGCCTACTGTTGGCGTGCTCAGTCTCTTCACTCCAAAACAACATGTGTATCTGTATGCCGAAACTCCGGTCCGACAGAGTTTCAAAATAGCCAACCTCGGAGCATATTTCTGCTTCAATAAGAACATTTCGTGATGTTTGCATACTGCAAGTATGCTCACAGTAGGTGTACGTAGGCATTTTGTTGCGAGGTTTATCCATTTCAACTCATAATCATCGTAGAGTATTTTTATTTGCATTCTCTGCAATTAACCAAATGCACAGCTCGTTTTTTTGTTGCTGTTTTTCCATTTTTCTGCCGCGTAATAGTTCATCAGTCAGTAATAGAAATCCTTCGGCTATTAATGTTGGTTGGTCAGCTGAACTACAGAATATAGGCTGCACGTATTTGTGGGAAAGAAATCGTGTACTTGTGTGTTTTTGCGACGGTAAATGTCACGCGATAAGAGCATGGCTTTTTAAGGGCTTTTTTCTCCACTGATTGAGCCGTGTAGTTTTATAGATCTGCTCAACCCGATGTTTACTAAAGATTTGTTGTTTGTTTTTTTTCCACTTATTCCCGTGTGGTTACGAGTAGCTAGCAAACCATCAGTCCATAACCGCACGCGGTTCTTGTAATAATGATTATACTGTTCCCACTGCTGGGAAAATCAGCTGTGCATTCTCACACTAGACTTCCAGTCGAGTCGGCTCTCAAGCCCGACATAAGCCCCCCGGCTGCTCGACTGGAAGCAATTCACTGCGACTGCAGTGATTAGGTCGGTCGACTGCGACGCGACTGCCTGCGACTGGCCGCCACTAGTTGCTCGGAATAGAATAGTGGGCAACTAGTCGCTGCCGATCGCTTCCAGTTACTCGAAGTCCAATTGCTTCCAGGCGAGTCGGCTCGCAAGCCCGACATAAGCCCCCCTTTAAAGTAATGTGTCAGCCTGACTTTGTGAACGTGTTAGAAATAGATGCCTGAGTCCCCCTTGATAAGGTACGTGGCTTTATGTAAATTCGCTTGTGGTGGTCACGGCTGTGTTGCCCTTGTGAAAAGAGGGCGTGACGTCACGCGTGTGCCAACTTCTCCTTGGTGGCATTTACCCGTCTGCATGAAGCATGCTGAGCAAACCGTCATCGGTTGAACGTTTCTGAACGAGCTTTTTTGTAAGCACACGCGGTCACGTGTCGCTAAAGGTTCCTCGTATCTACAAATAACCTAATTGCTTATGTCCCGACCGCGAAAACCCCTAAAACGCCTTATTATGTTTTTTTCATCAGACTCGCGTGAGAACACAGCACTGTGGCTTGCTGCTATGTGTTATCGTTACGTGTAATCTTGAGATTTGTGCGATCTTGAGAATACGCTGTACAAATAAAAGTAACATAATTACGCATCGTCATGCGATTGTATGATCGCTAGTAGAAAACATCAAAAGTCAAACAAAAGCAGCATGTTGCAGTAATAGTCGCATATATTATAACCACAAACTATTGTATCGAAATTTCTATTCGAGTATTTTTAACGCCTAGCAGCCGTGACTCAAAAATGACGCGACGCGTGACGAAATCGGACGTACCAATTCCCGGGCGGAGCTGTTTTAGCTCGTTCATCATCTTTAATTAAATATCTTCATTACGCACTATGGTGAGTTTGTACCGTAGTATGCCTCTCTGTTGGCAGGGACGCTAATTTCAGCTTACCCTATTGGCCACGTTCGAGGTCATACTTTAGAAGCGGCTAGGCGTCTCGCCTTTCTCATCGCATAGGCTTAATACTATATCACACATCTCTCCTTTCGACGCTTTGAGTCACCGTCACGCCGTACAATGAAATTCGAATACCAATCTAGCTATAACTACGAAAAATTCGCGCTGCTCGTCAATGCTCGAGCTATTTTACTGTTAAATAAATTATTTCCGTCTCTTGGCTATGTATACAGTGATTAGGATGTAGCTTGCCCTAGGTATCGTCGCCGTGTTAGTCTTCTGCTTCTTCTGCTCCTCGACCTTGCTCTGCGCGGGCTCTGGAGGCTGTCGAGCTTGGAGGACATGACAACATGGCTCCCGCCTTGTCGGGTGCGAGAGCGTCGGCCTCCGGTTGTCGGTATGACGGCGTCGGCTCCGGTTGTCGGTGTGACGGCAGTCTCTGTCTCTCCTTCTTACGTAGCGAATGCGGAATCTTCTTGTTCTTCTTCTTCATCTTGGGAACAGCGTAGCGAATGCAGATCTTTGTATCCTCCACCAATTGTTGTACTGTGAATAGGTTGTTCTCCGCTCCGGCATCGTAGCATCGTAGAGTTGTAAAGTTGTTGATCTCCGCTCCGGCATCGTAGCATCGTAGAGTTGTAAAGTTGTTGATCTCCGCTCCGGCATCGGAGCAGCGTCGAGTTAGCACATGGTAGCAGATTGTGGCAAAGAGTAAAGATGATGTAGTCGCAGAATTTGCTCTTGAAGACTGACTTTATTAGTAAACACAATACAAATATATATACACTACGGCGACCTAGGTACCCAAGCCTAGGCCCCGTGTCTCGTCTTCGTCTATCTCCACTACATTGTCTCTCGTCTCTTCTTCTGGGTAATAACTTATTATGATTTTTCGTCCGTGCCTATTTATACGTTTCCGAAAACCGCCCGGCGGCATTTGAATCCGACCGGTTTTTCGTCATTATCGGCCGGACCTTGGCTCGTAGGTGTGGCGCGTCGCGTCACCCATCCCCGACGCAAGGTGTGACGTGCCAAGTGTCGCATCCTGTCGCCACCGTTTGCTGAATACAATACTATCATGTTATCAGTGTTATCAATGTTCCAAAGTTATCGATGACGCTGGAGTTCGTTTACCTGAATATGTCACTGCATGCATTCATTGGCTGAAACGCTATCGTGTGTTTTATAAACACGGTGTGTGTTACTGGTAGAGAGGGCTTTGTCCGACGTATCTACATGGTTCTGTGCGTTTTTCATGCGCCATGGTTGGCAAAGATGTCGACATGTATTCGGTGCTGCGTATTTTGCAGGATTCATGGTTGGCAAGGATGCTGAGGCTGGTGGAATCGCGAAGCACGGTGCCAAGATGGTCACGGCCGTCGCGTGCGCAAAAGTACCAAAGTTCACTGTGATTATTGGTGGCTCGTACGGCGCGGGCAACTACGGCATGTGTGGACGGGCGTACGGGTGCGTATACGCAAGAAACGTAGTCGCTCGAAAGCTGAGCCAATGCTATGCGTCGAAGTTGTTTAGACGTTTTCTCTGATTATTAAACGCTACGATAATGCAAAAAATAATAATTTCCCGAGTCGTACGTGGTTACTAGCAATAAAGCAATTATCGTGATATAAGCTGAACTGCAGTGATTGCAGGGAACTGCAGTGACAGCGGTGGCATATATATATATATCACTATCAGAAGTAGATAATAGGGAATTCCCTATTATCTACTTCTGATATATATATTATATACTATTACTAGTAATGCTGTTCCAATCTTTTTTTGCTGTTTGTGTTTTTACGATGATTGGCAATGAGGTGATGATGCGCTCATACTTATTGAGGGCGTTTAGACCTCATACTTAGTGACCAACTGTTTACCAGACAACGCATTATGTATATTACACTTTTAAAGTGGTGTCTGCATGGTGCCCGAGAGAGGATGGCTGTTTTCCAGAGATTCTCGTTTATTTTGTCAAATGTGCTTATAATAACTGTCGATGTTTTACCTGTCGCATTTGTCTTTCTTTCATCAGCCCGAGGTTCCTGTACATGTGGCCTAATGCACGCATCTCTGTGATGGGCGGACCACAGGCTGCGGGCGTGCTCGCTCAGATCACTAAGGACCAACGACAACGTGAAGGAAAGCCGGTACGTCTGTAATTACGTGGCGCTTCATTTCCGATCAAAGGATGCATCGTATTCGGTGTATGATTGTAGGTGTTACGTCCGCTCATGCCAGTTGTAAGTTTAATTGTTAATTGCCACTAACGCAGAACAAGTATAGTCATATATATATATATATATATATATATATATTAATTTCGAACCGTGTGTGTGTATATATATATATATATATATATATATATAAACACAAGGTTCGAAATTAAAGATAGCCCCTCCCGTTAGTCCGAAACTGCCAGATTTGCTCATGGATGAGTAGATTGTAGTAACAACTAGCCGGCTCAACTTAACTTGGCACTGGCAGCTAAACACAGCACTGTCATTTAAATTATTTCTCCTTCTTGCACGTTTTTATAGCTTAAATGAATTAAGCGACCAATTATCAAATATACTTAAAACGAGTATTTATTATCACGCACGTTGATCAATAACGTCGACGCAGCCATGTTTGTTGCTTATGCTATGACGTAGACGGATTTCATTCTTTTAGGCAAAACTCACAGATACCAAAATAATTTCTGAACTACCAGAATTACTCACGGACTACCAAATTACAAAATCTGGTAGTCCGCATGACTACCAGATAAAGAAGCGTAATTTCGCACTATTTATATACATATGTTTATCTATTTCTTTATCTCCCTCTATTTCTCTCTCTGTCTCGTTTATCGGTCTTCCCCCTTTCTTTCGCTCTCTCTCTCTCTCTCTCTCTCTCTCTCTCTCTCTCTCTCTCTCTCTCTCTCTCTCTCGCTCTCGCTAACTTTCTCTCTTTCTCACACATACATGCACACACACTCACAATGATTGCGAATATTTATCATTGAAAAGACAAATGATGTGATATTATAGTTCCTCGTCTAAATTTGGCTCGTGACGTAATAATGACGTCACACGTAATCCGACTTTGGACATCGATTCTGATTCCTATAGAAACCTACGCGGCACATAGAGTGATGCCCGAGCTCATGCTTAGCCGGCTTATAGACTAATCCTGCAGTCTCTATGCGGTATATATAAAAGATAAACCTTGAAATGAAGAGCGATTTCGTCGATACCCATTTCCGGCTAGAAGCCACCTTCTGCTCTGCATCTATTGCAGGGATACATCCTTCGTTGGGCATTAGCGGAAACGTTAACTTGGCTACGTGGCAGAAGCAGACAGGTCTCGCTAAGTTCCGTGGGCAGAGATTATGGCGAAACTTGTTTACGGCTGTCTTAGGGACAGCTAGGGAGCTATCTCTCTCAGTCAGCCAAACATCTAAGGTGATGAGCGGAGGTGCGTGCCGCTCCTGGCGTGTGTGCCTAGATATTTATTTCTTACTGGTTTTCTTTTTATGCGTTTGGTTGCAAAGCGTTCTAGCCTCTCTCCGATGATAAAATGAGAGGCTGATTAAACCTACTCAACAAGTGCGTAATTGAGCTTGGGCGTAAGGAGTCGCTGGTTCGGAGATAGTTATAAAATGTGTAAACGTAATTGGGATGTTAAAAACCGTTGTAGTAATTTTTGTAATGTTTTAAATTATGCAAATAAGTGAAAGACTCTTAGTACATCAAAGAATGACGAATTTGTCAATTCACTTCCCATACGCGAGCATGGTCATGGGGCGTGTCATGTTCGGAAATGATTGAAAAGTCTAAAAAAAAAAACGTCTGGCAGGCGTTCGTGATTAAAAGTATCAACAAATGGACGACGTTCGTTACGTTAACACATACTTCACATAACGAATGCCATTTTCATTCTCTGCCTATTGCCCATACGTGAACATAGGTATGATATATACGTGATATATACGTCACATATACGTAATAGACATTACGGGCGCCTCACGCGGAAATGACTAAAGTGAGGAAAACGTACATTACAGGCGTTCGTGTTTAAAAATAGTAATAACTGAATGATATTGCCTCCCTTACCAGCGTACAGTGGTAATGCTTCCGTAAGTTCCGTTATAACGTGGCGTCCCTTTATATAAATATGAAGCGACTATGCTACAATGGTCTTATTATTCACAAACTTTTAACAGCTGTAAAGAGTGCCCCTTTATATAGATAAAAAGCAGAACGCAGTCCGATGTAGCTTAGAGTTTATTCCTGTAGATATAGAAGTAAAGGACATGCAAAGAATGCTGTGGTACTGGCTGAGTCAACGTAATCAGCAGATATATGTAGCGGTTTTGCTGATGCATGGAATTAAGGCCTTAACTCTGCTAGCCTCTGCATCATTGTCGTCGGTATAATACAACCCGCTTACTATACAGCAGTATACTATACTATACAGCATACTATACTATACAGCATACTATACTATACAGCATACTATACTATACAGCATACTATACAGCAGTATACTATACTATACAGCATACTATACAGCATACTATACTATACAGCATACTATACAGCAGTATACTATACTATACAGCATACTATACTATACAGCATACTATACAGCATACTATACTATACAGCATACTATACAGCATACTATACTATACAGCATACTATACAGCATACTATACTATACAGCATACTATACAGCATACTATACTATACAGCATACTATACTATACAGCATACTATACAGCAGTATACTATACTATACAGCATACTATACAGCATACTATACTATACAGCATACTATACTATACAGCATACTATACAGCAGTATACTATACTATACAGCATACTATACTAGACAGCATACTATACTATACAGCATACTATACAGCATACTATACTATACAGCATAATACAGCATACTGCCAGCAGTAATGCAGCATAGTGGCAATAGTAATGCAGCATACTGGCAATAATACTGCAGCATACTGGCAATAGTAATGCAGCATACTGGCAGAAGTAATGCAGCATACTCGCAATAGTAATGCAGCATACTGGCAGCAGCAATGCATCATACTGGCAATAGTACTGCAGCATACTGGAAACAGTAATGCAGCATAGTGACAATAGTAATGCAGCATACCAGCATACTGGCAGCAGTAATGCAGCATACTGGCAATAGTAATGCAGAATACTGGCAGCAGTAATGCATCATACTGGCAAAAGTACTGCAGCATACTGGCAATAGTAATGCAGCATACTGGCAGCAGTAATGCAGCATAGTGGCAATAGTAATGCAGCATACCAGCATACTGGCAGCAGTAATGCAGCATGCTGGCAATAGTAATGCAGCATACTGGCAGCAGCAGTATACTGACTGGTAGCAGTAATGCAATATACTGATAGCAGCAATGCAGCCATCCTGTGGAATGCATTAAAATCATTTAACGCTTTTCATTAATTTAAAGTCGTTTAAACCACCATGCATTCATAACTTATATTTATCAGATAAAACTGTGACTAACAACAGTGATAGTCCAGTTACGTTTGTACATTTCTTTTTACATTCGCTTCACAGAAATTGCAATAACATGTATTTTTCATATACACTATTCTGCTTATAGCGAAACAATATAAAACAGCAACCGAGGAGAGAGAGGTAAAGTGTGCCGCGGTGGATGGGAAGCATGAGAAGAAGACAAAGGAGGAGAGTCTGGCATGTCACAAATATAACACAGATTTTACTAAGGGGAATCGTGCTGTGTGATGTACTTTGTTACAGACGTGGAATAGGTGCCCGCCGTTTGTGTCACATTTTTAATGGTCAGATGATTTGCTAATAAATAGGCGATTTACAGAGCAACCAGCTCAGGAGTCCATGCGTGTGTGGCATGCGAGCAAACAATAGATCAAAAGGGGAAACTGAATCGGGTGATAACAGCATTGAGCTTATCGCCAACATCTTCTATGCCTTTCTCTCTCCCTCGCGCACGGACACACGCACACAGATGCACACGCGCGCAGACACACGCACACAGATGCACACGCGCGCAGACACACGCACACAGATGCACACGCGCGCAGACACACGCACACAGCTGCACACGCACGCAGATGCACACGCACACAGATGCACACGCGCGCAGACACACGCACACAGCTGCACACGCGCGCAGATGCACACGCACACAGATGCACACGCGCGCGGACACACGCACACAGATGCACACGCGCGC